GCTAGCTCAATGACCAGTAAATAATGATCTCGTAACAAATAACTGTATAGATCTACCTTTTTCAAACTGCCATTTTGTCATCAACAAAGGTTTCACTCTTAGAAATAAAACAATTTATGAAGAAAATACTTTCTCATACAAGGCTAAATGCCTAGGGCACAGTACCATATTATAAAAACTCATCATTTCTTATAAAATTACTGTCAATGGCTTGTAAGATGAGCAATCAAACCATTGGAGAGGAATTTGTAATTCATTAGAATTTATTGTCGATTATAACAACTCATCATTTTTTAAAAATTACTGACAAATTCTTTTAAATACTAAGTTTCTTCAGAATGTTGGCAATCATTACTCCCCACAGCTTCCTTTAGTTAAAATCACGCAAGTTTCACCTTTTTTTTCTCTGGTCACCTTCACTCCAAGATGGTTTCCCACTTCTCTCTAGGTGGCCTATATATATATATATATCTATATATATATATCTATATATATATACACACACACACACACATATCAAGAAGGAAAAAACCACATCATCAAAGAATTCAGTAATAAATTTATTTCTACATATAGAAAATATATGTTAAAAATCATTTTAAAATTAAATCACAAGAGAACAGGAAGTAAATGTCTAAATTACAAACACACAAGTAAACACATATATACAATGTATACACATATACATAAATATAAACACCTACATAGACATACATAAACATCACACATAAATATCAACATAATAAATATATATATATATATATGTATATATACATACACACCCAGTATATGCATATATACATACATACATACACACACCCAGTATATGCATATATATATATATATACATACATACATACACAATAATACATATATATATACACACATACACATGCACACACATACATAAATACACAAAAACTTTCACATAAATCAAAGCATATAACTTTCAATGAATAATGCAAAATAAGTACAAAATAAAATGCTATTTATAAGATAATTTAAATCTATTTTATGGCAACATTTAAATATGATGACATTCCTTTGATTCAATAACTGGCTAGTATTTTTATATTTAATTATTTTAATTTTTACTTCCAGGCACAAATTACATATATTTCTGAACTTGTTGGGTGGTGTTTGGGATTTACCTATAATCTTTCATTGTATGTGTGGGGTTGAAGTTTCTATCCTTTAATTCCCAGAAATATTTAGAAAGAGCTGTTTGTGTTTTAGATAAGGGTCAGAGAAAGAATTCTTGTTATTGTAAAACCACTACTTCCAGATCCCAGCAGAAATTCCAATGTATACTTTTATATTATTTACATTTTCTTTAGGGAAAATGGTTGTTTAGTATATAACACTTTTGGATTTGCATATTACTGCCACCTGGACATTTGTTTTTGCTTCTGCAATTACAAAAGGCTTTGCTATCTGTTTGGTTACCATTATAAAATTTGTTTAATATTTTATTATTATGTGAATTAATAGCATTATAAATGTTATTTGTGTAGGAGTAGCTAATTTTTAAGGCTTTTCTATTAAAAATTTTACTTAGTGGGTTATTTTGGTTAAAATGTTTGTCAATCAATTTCAGAAAGTATTGACCGATATTTATATTAGATAGCAGAAAAGAGGGTTAAACCATAAAACTTCTTTTTCTATGTCTGGGTCTATTTATTTTAGTACTTTTTAAATATTCCAGGTAAAATAATCTTTGTTTAAAGCCACTTTTTTTAAGGCATCATTATCTGATATTTTTTTTTCATCAAAAATTTTATTATTAGAAGATAATCTATTAATTATAGTATATATATATATATATATATATATATATATATATATATATATATATATATATATATATGAAGAAATATAGTTTTAAGGTGTGCTATATTTATGGAATAAAGTGCTCAATATCAGAGATAGAATGTATGTAAATATAAATATACATATAGGTAAAAATAAGTAAAATAAGTAAAACGATACTAGAAAGAATTAATTCTGAACTAAGGAAGAAGTTATGAGTAAACCAGTGGAAGCAACTATTGACTGGTTCCACAACATAAATAACAAACATAATTGCCAATTTATACAATTAGACATAAAAGAATTTTATCCATCCATAACAGAAGCCATGCTAGATAAGGCTATCACGTTAGCCCAGGAACAAATAAAAATAAACACAAACGAAATCAATATAATTAAACACTCCGGTAAATCATTACTATTCCACAATGAAGATGCATAGATAAAGGAAGAAGGGATCTTTTACACTACAATGGGAAGCTTTGACAGTGCATGGACCTGTGAAATCATAGGTATATATTTACTGCATGATACAGGACACTACAGGGATGACATTCTCGTAATCTTAAGAAACTATAACAAACAAAACACAGACAAAGCGAGAAAAGTGATAATAAGGATTTTTAAAAATAATGGATTTGACATAGATATAAAAAACCAACCTAAATGAAATAGAATTTCTAGATGTTACCTTCAACCTAAGAAAAGGCACATATAGACCATACAGAAAACCCAGATAAACCACTGTACATACACACATCTTCCAATCACCTGCCTTTAATAATCAAACAGATACCAAAATCGATTAACCACAGGCTTTCTTACAATTCTTGCAATGAATCCATATTTAACAAAACTAAGAAAGACTATGAAACAGCCCTAAAAGATAGTGGATTCCCAGCAACACTCACATACTCACCACAAAGCACAAGAAAGTCCAACAGGAAGAGAAATATCATATGGTTCAACCCACCATACAGCAAAAACGTAAAACCAAATGTAGGTAAAATATTCTTTAAACTCTTAAACAAACACTTCATGGAATCAAGCACTCTACACAAAATATTCAATAAGAACACTGTAAAAATCAGCTACAGTTGCACCAAGAACATGGCACAAATAATAAAAAAGCACAACAGGAAAACTATCAACAAACCACCCAAACAAATTAAACCCAGGCATAACTGTAAAATAAAGGATGAATGTCCCTTAAACAGTAATTGCTTACAAAACAATGTAATATACCAAGCCACGGTAAAATCACCAGATAATGAAGAAAAAGTATACATAGGAGTAACTGAAGGACTTGGGGAAACAAAGAAACTATGCACACAAAACATCTTTCACAAATAGTAAGTACGTGAACAGCACAATGCTTTCCAAGTATATATGGGAAATTAAAAACAAAACACAAATCACATCAAAAATATCATGGAAAATAAAGAAAAGATCATCAGCCTACAACAATCAATCAAAAACCTGCAAACTCCTGTTAGAATAGATGAAATAGAATAAATAAAAATAAAACATAAAAACAAGTAAAAATATCAACCCATATAAATAAAGTAAATAATAATAAACAAATTAACAAACCAATCCTGCCAAAATAACCATTAGAATAGACTACAATAACCAATCCAAAAATTGGATATAAAAATAGCTATAACTGCTATATAGCTAAAAAAACAAAAAAAACATTATTACGTTACTGAAATTCGAAAACCGAATAGAGTAAATAAAAATATACAAAATAAAAAACTAAGTAAATAAATAATAAAAATTAACCCAAATAAATAAATGAACAAATTTACAAATTACTCTCACTAAAATAACCATTAAAACTAATAAAAATAAGCAAAAACAAGTAAAAATAATCAATCCAAATAAATAAATAATAAACAAATTAAAAACTGTCCCCTGCCAAAATAACAGAAAAGACTATGGCAATCACTCTAAAAATTGGATTAATAGTTTTATCTTCCCAAACCAAAACAAACTATTAAATAAGCGACCTAAGCAAATCCCCCAATTTTTTTTACTACGTTAATAAAACATCAAAAACTGAAAAGAATATATAAAATAAAAAATGAAAAACAAAATAAATTCCCCCCCCATGCCAAAAAAATAAATAAACAAGCCACCCCCACTAAAATAACTGCCAGAATAGATTGCCCACAATGCACCACTGACCCATATATATAAATAGTCAAGAAAAAAACCAACACTCATGGCCTGATGATTGCATCTAGCATGAAACATCCTGTTGCCTCTGAGTGTTGACTTCAATGTTCACTTTATATATGTGTATATATATATATATATATATATATATATATATATACACACACACAGAGAGAAGTCTAGTTCAGTGATTGGCCAATAACTATTATAACTATTCTCATGCAAATAACTTAGCAGTGCCATCTGGTGTAGATCTACCATTTCCAACCTGCCATTTTGTCCAGGGGAATTAACCCAATAATAATTCCTTGTAGGTTAACAAGTAATGATAGACTTGAAGGAGGCCGGTGTCAATAAGATTAGCTGGTTGATTTTGTTTAGCGGCATATCAATATCTTAATGGGTTATACCAAAATCTGATATTGTACACAATTTTAATTTATGTTTTGTAGATAATAATGGTTTAGTGATAAGAGCCTTGCTAATTAACCCAGAGCTGCAGGGAGAAGAGGTGGATTCATACCTTTCCCAAGAGTATTAGCATGTAAGCAAATATAACTCAACTGGAATTGGAAATCTTCTTCGATTACAACACCCGTACATCCAAGCAAACAGCACCTAGTATTATTAAACATTCACCCATTTATGTACTGACCAGGTTTGAAATTGCTTGACTTCATTGATCATATAGGAACCGGTGTTTCCATGTGATGTAGCCTTAAGCCATACAACCTGAATTTCAAGCTCACGGCACCAAGGTATTCCCAAGTGTTTACTCGTCTAAGCTCAATGTTGCTTAACTTCAGTGATTGTATGGGAACTAATGCTTCAACATGATGTGGCTGTAAACCATATCACCTGCACATTGAATCTTACAGCGCCTAGAATTCCCAAGTACACTCATCTACGTACTGACCAGGCACGATGTTGCTTAACTTTGGTGATTGCTTGGGAAGCAATGTTTCAATGTGTTGTGGCCATAAGCCATACCACCTGTACATCCATGCTTATGGCACCTGGAATTCCCAAGCAGTTGCCCATCTAGGTACTGACTAAGCTCAATGTTGCTTAACTTTGGTGATCATATGAGAACTGGTGTTCCAATATGATGTGGCAATAAGCCTGGTGTGCACTAAAGATCAGATGTGATAATAACAACAAAGATTAGGACATTAGTTTGAATGTAAATAATAACTCCTTAGCCCAGACATTTAGGCAGAGTACCTTCTTCATTTTTGGTTTTGTGCCAATCAAGACTAAATAATAGATTCAGAACTGATACACCTTTTGAGAATAAGTGAAAGAAGATTCATTAAAGTTTGAATGCAAAGAATTCTTCATTAAGGTCTAAATAGAAAAAAAAACACATTGATTTCATTTGAATCTATGAAAATTATTCCATTTTATTTTCTGTTTTTGAGATGGACGGATTTGTCTGGTTTTCACTGATGGAGTTAATCCCAATCAATTCAGTCTTTATAAGGTTAAGTGAGACTAAAAGTAATGACATCAGAGAGCATAGCTGAGGCAATTAGAAGAGCTTTGTCCTTTTGTGAGCTTATTAAATGATTATATATCTAATTCTCTTGTAATCAGGCATTCAACTTGGCTAAATACACATAAAACTGTACAAAAGAATAGAAAAATGAGTGAACATTTCTTGCAGCATTAGAATGTGACTGAAAGGAAAGATAATTATAATTGATTCAAACATATCAATATTGTGTTAATAAGTACATAAATTACTAAATGAATATATATATATATATAAATTAATCAATTCACCCCAAACAAGGCAATAATGCCACTAAGACATAAAGAGTTACTTGGAGTGGAAGAGAATGCTTAAACTTTAAAAAGAACTGGAAACCAAATCCTAAACAGAAACAAGGGCTAAATCTCTAATCCTGTTCAAAAGGCCAGGGAGGTGTATCAACCAGATGTTTATATATATATATATATATATATATACGCATCACTGGCAAGTTACATTCAGACCTAAATGCCATTCCTTCACTTTACAGCCCTTCTTTTGTAAGCAGGAGTGTCTTTTAGGTCTGGATGTAATTTGACAGTGATGTATGTGTGTGTAGTCACTGTGGGTTTATCTAAAAATAAATACGCTTAAATTCGTCTTCATCCCTGCCGTGAACCAACGGCTTAGGGGTAGAATCTCTGACTGACGCCAATTCAGCTGAGTTTCGATTCTAACTAAAGGTAACCAGATGTCTAGCCACACCGATGAGCAAAACAGTCTGTTTGTGGATGACTATATATATATATATATTCTTTTTAAAAATGTGATTCCATCATAACACCTAAAATTTCCATGTTTCAAAACTGAAACTAAAATTATAATTAAATTTATAGTATCTAGGACAGTTTTTTTGAAATAAAAATAAATGCTAAGAACCCAGGATTATAAATCTTACTGTTCTTTCTTATTATTTTGATATATATATATATATATATATATATATATATATATAGGAATGGGTTGAAATGTTCACAGGCTCACTATGAAGGATTGATGTCAGAGCTGTGAAATCCTGCATACTGTAAATTTAACTCTTCTTATTAATAACTGCATTTTTTTCTCTCCAGGTAAACTGACACCTGACTGTTCAAAGAAGACTTCAGAAGTAACTAGTAGAGACTTCTTTTGAAAATGGACAAAATTTGGCATTGTGGTGTTATTAAGTATCTGTAGAAAAAAGGGTTTAGCCCCCAAGGACATTCATGCTGACATGGTGGCTACATTAGGGGATAAGACATCCCAGCTTTATCAACAGTGGAAAAGTGGGGAGTTGAGTTTAGTTGAGAAAAGAAGAGTTTTGAAGACGACCCAAGGTTTGGACATCTTGCAACTGCTACCACCAAAGAAAACATTGACTGTATTCACCACATGGTGATGGATGAGAGACAACTAATTATAAATCAGCCAATGCTATTAACACATACATTGAGAAAGTTGAGAATATTCTGCACAATGAACATGGCATGACAAATGTTTCTGCTCAGTGGGTGCCACATGTTCTGACACATGATAAAAAGAGCACAGGCTGAGCACATCATGAGAAAATCTGACATTGTTTGAGGAAGATCCGGCTGGTGTCCTTGAATTCTTCCTAACCCAGGGTGTGTTGACTTCACCACTTTGAGCCAGAGACAAAGGGTGAATCCATGCAATGGAAACACACCTCACCTGCTCCAAAAAAGGTTGTTTCATCTGCAGGGAATTTGATAGCTTCAGTTTTTTTGGGATGCAAAAGGCATTGTGTTTATTGTTTATCTTCGAAAGGGTCACACCATCAATGGAGAGTACTATATCAACTTGCTAAGGCAGTTTTGAAAGGCTATCAAAATCAAATGCTCAGGAAAACTGATGAAAGGGGTCTTGTTTCATCAAGACAATGCTCCAGCACACAATTCCTTGGTTTCAATGGCTGCTGTGTGCAACTGTGGCTTTAAACTGCTTGATCATTCTCCCTATTCTCCTGATTTGGTCCCATCTATCATTTGTTCCCCAACACGAAAATACAATTGGTTTGGAATCAGTATCACAGTGATGATGACATCATATGTGCTGTTGGTCATTTTTGGCCCAACATGATGAAAGCTTCTTCAACAATGGAATCTAAGCACTCAACACCAATAGGAAGAAGTGTAGAGACTGCAAAGAGGGCTATATTGAAAAAATGAACCTCATTTGGTCAGATTCCATAAGAAGATCTTGGTCAGCCTATGAATTTTTCAGTCAACCCTTGTATATTATTAATATATGATTATATTCTATCTTTATAAATTTTCCCTCATATTTTAGTTTTTATATAAATATTTGTATTTATATATATATTTTTTACTTTATATATATATATGTAAGACTAATTTCAGCAATAAAACATTATTTGTCAGAAGATGTTCCTTCTTGGTATGAAACGTGTCACAAATAAGTTTTTCCATCTTGTCATTGATTTACAGATATATGTATATATGTCTATAATAGGTAATCTTTGTATATTTTTGTATCCAGTGATGTACGCAGATGTCTTAATGTAAGCATAGGTAAACATAATTACAAAATCATTGTGTATAAATTGTGCACAAGTGCAGCTGGTGTCAGTGTGACTGACTGTTAAGGTGTAAGAAATGATCAATTAATCAGATAGATAGCAGCCAGAAGATAAGGGGTAGTTGTAGAAAGGCAAGGACATTATTAAGTGGGTGATTCATGACAGGGTGTGGCAGGGACTAGAAAGTAGGTCTCACAGGTGAAGAAATAAACAAAACAAAATGATAACAAGTGTGGTCATTTTGTTGCCACAACAACAATGAAGTCACACTTCTTTGTCATCTCAGAAAGGAAAAGAATGAGCAGTAAAAAGGCAAGTGAACTCAAAAGCAAATGTGATAAAAATCAATGATCAGTTAAGACAAGAAGTGTGGAAAAAAAAACTTGAAAAACAATAATACCCTCAATTGATAAAAGATAGATAGATATATAGAAAAATATTCTTTTATGTGTCATGTCCCTTCAGTACAACGATGATCATGGCCCTACACACTTTCCTATCTTAAGCAGTTGTGTGAAATATTTGTCCTTTAACTATTCCTCCCAATCCATATTCTGCCATTCATTTATACGAGGTCGTTAGGTAGGTTAATTGCTGTTTCATTTTGTCCAACTTGCCTTCAATATGCCTTATGAGTGTTAAATTCTTCAAGCCCTCTTTTCTTCATTATGTGTCCGAGAAATTTCAACCCTCTCTTTTTATTTTTTTTTTTAAAGTGATGTTCACCCTGTACAAGGTCCAGGAGCCACTTGAGGTAGAGAGTTACAGAGTAAGAGGCACAGTACGCGGGAAAGATAATGGTTAATCCTAGACCTGAACGGTTAAGGTTGTAGTGATCGGGAAAACATCCTCTTGAAAGTCAGTTTCACAAAGCATATTCAATAGAATACAGATGGAATGAGGGCCATTCTCTACAATTGGCATGGCATGGAGGGTCCTAGCTGGAAAGGTCTGTCTGAATATTTTCCATGGAAATAGCAAGAGGCTTGTGACGTTTCATCTGTGAGAAAGTGGTTATAGGATTGAAAATAAGCTGTCATCCACAAGGATGAAGAGATGCTGGGAATGAAGACTGGGCAGCTCCTGCCCAAATATGACAACTGTACTCCATTTTAGGCCTGATCTGGCATTTGTAAAGATAGAGGTAGCACGAGAAATCAGGCACTTACTGGAGCAGTACAGGGAACTGACTATTTGAAATCTGGGTTGTGTTTAAGGTCAAATAGGTATTCAAGGCACAGGGCCTCACTGAAGGAAAATCCATTCTTCATGATTGGTGATAGTTCAGGGTCTGATTGGTGATGATGGAATGCAACTGGTCTAGTTTTCAAGGTATTGAATGTAACAAGCCAGTTTTTCCCCCACTGAGCTGTTAAAGTTCAATCAGAAGAGAGATCAGCTGACAGGCTTTGATCATCTAGGGTTTTGGAGGTACACCCATATACCATTGTATCATCACCATAGACTAGAACAATCTACCTCTGTGAACTAAATAAAGGGTTCAGTTCAAAATTCCAACATACTTCACCTGAAGAAAGCCTGAGTGTACAATGGCTGAAACATCGTGAATATGACAATAAAGATGAGGATAAAAGTCCAAATGATGTAAATAGTTATAATACCTCATATCAGAATTATAGACAGAACTTCCTGTTGGTTCAAAAAGAACAATTGAGGTAATCTGTGATTTGTTTTTGGAAATCTCACCTTGAAAAATAAATATCTTTATGAAATAAAGTATAAGACAATCAACAAAGGAATAATAATAATAATTTCACCTTAAGAAAACCTTCACTTTTCAAAAAACTCATTCAAAGCATTGAACTTCTGCTGGTTTTGTAATTCCCATAATGCTTCGACCAATCAATGTGATAGTCTTCTTCAGGAGTATAATCAAGATCTGCCTTGATCCAGTGACCTTGAGACAATCACCTAATGAAGCCATAACAATTGCCTAATGAATCTTTAAGGTATTAAATGAGATGACACATTGAATTTTCCCACTGCATTCAAGATTCAGGGCATTTTTGCT